CAAAGTGGCCCGAAAAAAAAAAAAAAAAAAAAAAAAAAAAAAAAAAGGTCACCATAAAATTCTTAAAAGCTCGCCGTGACAAACGATCTCCTCTGACATTCCGGGCGCCATCTTGACATGCCCGAGAACAAAGTTGTATTCGCCCTGTGCGTTTTGACCGAGCCGTAAATCACGTCGCCGACCTCAAACGTGCAATCATGCAATTTCATTTGGCAGAATTATTCCCGTACGGAACCGTCCGGTTTTTTTCAGTGTCCCTGCTGCTATATAATCAGGGGCCACACAAATGTTCCGGCCGCGACGTGAGCTTTAAAAAAAAAAAAAAAAAAAAGGGACAGAGAGCCCGGCCTGGGACGCCTGTGGGTGGCGGAGATGTGCTGCATCTTCGTCAAGGGTGGGGGCAACCAAAGCATCCAGCATATTCAGCTCCAGGTCCACATACTAGTACATTCTTTCTTCTCACTAGCAAGACAATCCAACACACTAGTACAGGACACAATTCAATCTTAGGAGCAAACTACTGTACTGCACTAGAGACTGCGCTAGCAGCTTCCTGGACCAAATTAGTAGCAAGAAAATGGCCAATAGCAGTGATAATTTTACAGTTTGAGCCCTGCGAGTCCCAGGGACTCGCTGATCAGAAAAGTTTGAGTCCCATTATGCATTTCGAGAGTCCCAAATTTTGAATTCTAAAATGGTCTACTTATTCAATTGCATATGATAATAACACAAACAACAACAACATACATTGATGATAGGTTTACTTCTTATGAACAAATGCTGCACAAATTTAAATAATTCAGACATACAAGATTATTATCGCAAAAAACGATGCAACTTTAGCTGCTTCCTCTGTGATATCTCCGCAATAAACTTTCGCAACACTTGTTTTAACGTTACATGACTTGGCAATCATCTGCTTTCCACACGGTGAAGGCCGATCTCACCAATGGCGGCGATTAGCAAACTGCGATCGTTGCTGGGGAAAAAAAGATTTACTGTAATTTTTATTTTTAACTGAAAAATTTCCTTGCGTCCCA